GAGAAAGGCATTGCATTGCATTTCCAAAACACTGTGGACAATGGATATCATCTTTCCAACCCATCAACAGCAACAAATTACCGCTAAATACGGACTTGTACCTAAACTATCTTTACATATCTAGCGAAGGCCTTCGACAGAGGCAATTACGATGGACTGATTTGAATTATGATCCAAACAGTGTCCGAACAGCGTTAATCTCTGTAGAATCATTGCAGAATAATGCTGGAGTGACCACAGGCAAGTATCCCAGAAATGCGAGTTGTTTTGAACTCACTTCTAACCTCTACGCACAAATTCCTAACTAACTACTAGACCCATAAAATACATACCTTAAGCTGGTCGACCAGACAATGGGTCCAAGTTCACGCCATAAGGAATAGACTATTCGTGTGCGGGGATCTCGTTCGTCTTTGGCTTTATGTTTGGGTAAGGAATATCTCGATTTTGCAGACACGATACTGCCGGTTTCGCAAGCTTCCTTTTCGGTCAGAGACGGCCGTATTCAAATAAAATGTCAACACTAACACAGCCTTCCACTTTTGATAGGGCAGTTTTTATGTGCTCCTGAGGAGGCGACACTAACATTTGTAACTTCTCGACATCATCCGCCTCGACGATAAACCTAAGGCAAAAACTGCCACACAGTTTAAGTGAAAACATTTGTTGAACTATTGAGGTTCAGAGTAAGTTGGAAGACTAAATGGGAGGGGACGAGCAATGCCTCAAAAATTATCAATGACGATAAGACAGTGTTAGTATTTCAAGAAAACGTGGTTGCTCATTTCGCTTTCTTTACAATCCTTTTGTTACCTAGGTCGGTCTGAGTAAACAAACCTTGTTTTCAATATCTGAAGTGTGTGGTATAGAAACGACATAACACTGGGCAAATAGCGGAAAGTTCAGGGCAAAACGAAGTACACACCTTGACTTCCTCCTCATGACGACTGCGTAACTTGTTCAGCTGATTGGTGAGAAAACGATTGCGGCGAGTCAAATCCATAATCTTTCCCTTCTCCGCGAGAGAACTGTTCACGTCATCGGTACAGGTTGGCTCCAGGGTAGTCAGCTCCAACGACAAATTACTCGGCGAAGCGACGAAACGGTCGGGTGGAATCGTAGTGGTGCTTCATTTTTTTACAATCAAAGAGTAACGAAAACGTGAAAATATGCAATTTAAAGGAAGACCTTTAGGTACAGAAAATCTCAATACTGACTGAAGTCTGCCGGGTCAAACGACCGGACGAACGGCTGTAGAGAGACTATTTAACTTGTATAAGATTCAAACTAGATATTCCAATTGTTGTACCGAACTCCAAATAGCTGTTAAATCATTGATGGCTGTTAAACCATTCATAGAAGGAAAGTCGGTATATTTAGATAACAATTAACTTTCCTATCGTCCAGAAATAGCTGAGAATACTAGAACTGTACACAAAGCTGGAGAAATTTGAAATGGTTTAGAAAAAAAACCTACTTCATCGTTTGAGCATTGGCAACCGGGTTGAGCTGCCGAGAGCGTGCTTCACCTAAGAGAAGACCAGGAGTAAAGGAGAATCCAACGAAGGGAAGGTCCTGCGCATAAGTCGGACCCTGCCATTGAACGTCTTCCACCTCCTGCACGTCCTCCTTGATGGGCGCGGTGGCTGCTTCGTAAATGGCCTGCAGCTTCTTCAACTTACTTGCCTCCATACCGGGTGCGGGGTCAATGTTCTCTATGTCCTCAGACTGGCGCAGATTGGCAGGCCTCGAGGGTGATAAAGGTGGATCAGTTGACATGTCTAACAACTGTTCATCGCGGATACGTGAAGCACCTCCGGAGAAGTTTGAAACATCATCAACTTCGCCGACAGGAGGCAAGTAGGGTGGGGTGTCTGTAAGGTAATGAAATAATGGGAGTCATGCAGTGTTAAGCCTGTGTGAGGCTAAGCAAGCGTCTTATAATCCGTGGTTTCAGACTGGTAGTGCACGACTGCCACACATGCAACTTAAGTTTTAAGTGATCAATTCCCGAATTTATGACTGGGCAGGTCAAACAACCGCATTCCTACTCTTTATAACAATCACAATCGCCGAGAAGACAGTTTGCCCGTTAGCCTAGCTGCTAGCTACCAGACCCGGCCACAGGTGGCGGATGGTAGAACGGCTTTTAGTGAAGGTTAGCTGTGAAATAAGCAATCTCGGGTCTGCCGAATAAGTAGTCGCAGACCAGCATCTATAGTGCTACCAGAGTACGGAACACATTAACACACGGTGATTGTGAACGGTCATTAAATAAGTTCGCTTGCCACTGCTTCCTTTTTGTTAGAATCTTGAACCAAAGCACCAGAGGAGACAACTTCGAACAAACAATCCGTACTCACAATCCTCTAGAAACTTCATGAAATGTCCGAGTACATTATTACGACGCACGTCTATGTAAACTGACGCGCTCCGCAATCCTGGTCGAGGGGGGTGCAGGCGAATAGTATGCAAACTGAACTGCTAAACCGGGAACGGACTCTTGGTATTTGATAGTGGAAGGTGCGGACGTTCTGGAACCTTGGTACCGAAAGTCTGGCGGCTCGCAGTCCTTATCAGAACATCAGTATGCCTGCTGAAGTCCAGATTCCCGACTCTGGTGCTCGAGAAATAAAAATTCCGGGAGCCAAGGCACGCTTCACCCTGTGCCACGGCGGTGTCCAGTTCTGCTGCCACGGATCGTCACGCGTGCAGAGGTACAGTTCGAGACATCATCGAGGCTGGCTAGAGCAGGCATGATCGCAGCCGTACCAAGTCCAAGTAGCACACTCATTACTACCCCCACCATCAATACTATCACATTTATCAGCAGCAACGGCGACAGGTGTGCCGAAAATGACCGGTCAATATTTTAAGCCGCCAGTCTGCTAGACATTTGAAGCTAAGAGGAATCACCATAGAGTACGCAAAATTCAAGAAGTAATGCAGAAAGTCAAAAGATAAGCAAAACCAAATGGATATGACAAAGTCTGAACTATGATAAAATCCCTGAGAACGCCCACTCGTCTACCCCGTGAGGTCGGGCTTACTGTGGACGAAATATTAAGGTATAAGCCAACAGCAAATAAGATCACAAAAACTGCTGCACTATCGAACAGAAAGATGCGGGCTAACAATTCGCGCCCAAACGAATTTACCATAATCATAATATTTGTGAGATTCAAATCGTTGGATGTCAAAATTGTCATAATATAGACTATTTGAACGGCAAAATTGGTTGCAAGAAACACCCAACTGTTAGTCTACTTGATCCGCATTAAACACAAATAAGGAACAAAAAGTATATCATAGAATTCCCGTAACATATAACTTTAAAAACTTACGTTGGCGAATCGTGGCAAAGTCCACGTCCTGGAAAAAATGATGCTCAACAATGTCGCTATAACACAATCGTTGATTGGGCTGGCAAATGAGTCGGCGAATTAAATCCTTAGCCGAATCCGAAATTTGTACCTCCTTAGGGAATGTAAGAGTGGTCTATGGAAAGGAAGGCAATCAAAACCGTAGAAAAATGTATTACCTTGAAGTTACGGATATTATCCATCATCTTGTCATCGTCCTCATCGTAAAATGGTGTATACCCATAGAACATTTCGTAGATGAACACACCCACAGCCCAGTAATCGTATTCTGGACCGACTCGCAGTGCGTTCTGTTGGCTGCGTTTGCGTTGCGTCAGCAGTTCAATGTTGAGGTACTCCTTTGTACCGACCATGGTTGGGCAGACACACTGCAAAGTAAAAGTAAAAGTCAGAGGGTGTGGTAGTGCACGGGAATATGGACCCTCCTCGCATCGCATCATAGGTGGTATTGCGCTAAATGCCGGGAAGGCTGGGGTTGAGGCTAGGAGAGTTAGCGTTAGGACGCGAGAGTAGATACCCCCCGTAAGTTAGTGCGAGGCCACCTGTAGTAGGCGGGTCCATATTTCAGTGTACAACTGATGATTCAGGAAAC